AGAACATCGACGAGCAGTTAGAAGGACTGCAGTTTATTCATCGAAATTCAGTTCTCAAAATCTTCATGAAAACTGACGGAGCAAAACTAATTCTCCTTGAAAGAGGACTTGACATTTTGGGGTTCCACCACGTCTTCATTAAGTCAAGTCCCTACCGCATACCACTGGTGAACAGGCCAACTCAGACACATGTGTCGGTGTTTGGCCTTCCACAAGAGGCGAAATGCGAGCAAGTCGGCAGAGTGTTTAGGGAACGTGGTTATGGAAGGCATGTCCTTTCACGACCTGTAATGAGGAGAAATGCTAAATGTAGAGAATTCTACAGTGGCATCCTTGTTGCAGTTCTGGAGGATATGCTGGCTCCGATTCCCAGAATGTTGAACGTCCTCGGAAACTCAGTACGAACTATGTATACCAGACAAGCAGTTGAAAATAACAGAAATATAAAGAATTCTAAATTTGCTGAAACAACAACAACTCCTGAAAAGGTTCCAGTAATAGAACATGCAGAAGTTGTTGAAACCGCCAAGACAAAGATAGAGGAAAAAACACCTTTTAAAAAAACAGTTAAAATAAACATCAATGACAAAATAATTATCCAAACTATTAAGGAAGAAAATAACCAAAGAAACGTTAGGCAAAACGTGACGGAAACGGAAATGGAGGACGAGAATGCAAAAAAAGAAGTACAGTGCGAAAACTAAAAAATCGAAAAAGAAGATACAAAGAGCAACAAGCGAAAGCAGTACTCCTTTGATGCCATAGGCAAAAAGAAAGCCGAGGAAAAACATGACATCGACTTTAAAAGGACCAACTAGAAGCACGATGTCAAGGAAATGGTGTTTTCTAGAGGCACGTAAGTTGGTCTTTTTATTCTTAAATTTTTTTTAAATTTCTTAATTAATTTTTTAATTTTTAGCGAATATTTTTATTTTAATTAAAAGTTCAAGTTTTAAAATGCAAAGTTTTTAAGTTTACGCCTTAGTGAACATAAAAAAATTAAAAGTTTTTATTAAATAGGAACTTCTTTTGTTCGACAACGTGCGTTTTAAAAATTCTGTTGTTCTTTCATAATGACAGTAAAAATTCTTACAAACAACGTAAATGGCCTAAATAACGCGGCCAAACGAAAAAATACTATGAACCTTTTGCAAAATTTAAATTATGATATTTACTGTATCCAAAAAACCCACAGTACCGACGAGACGGCTATTGAATGGGCTAAAGAATGGAAAACTAAAACAAATGGAACATCAATATGAAATAGCGTTAAAAGCCAACATAACATAACATGCATAACATGTGGTGTTGCTATTCTTTTTAAAAAATATATTAAAAATTAAAATATTACACAAGATAACCGTGGAAGAATTCTTGCTGTCAATATAACATTAAAAAAAAATTATCTAAGAATAATAAATATCTAGGCTCCCAACACACACAGTCGTAAAGAGCGTTTTTTTAAGAAAATAAATAAGCATGTTAATGTGTGTGATGTTTTACTCCTAACCGGAGACTTTAACATGGTTGAAAACCCAAATATAAACCGACAAGGTGGAGATATGTTAAATTCAAATCACCTTGTTGGCTCAAAAAATTGAAACTTGTATAAATAACTAAATAAAGTGAATGATGTCTTCAGGATGCAATTCACACACAAACTAGTCTTTACGTATGAAAAAGAAGAAAAAATGTTCCGAAGTCGGTTAGACCGCATTATGCCTCTGATTATAACACTAACAACTGCAATTGCACGTTTGTGAAAAATATCCAAAGTAATTATGACATAGCACTTTGCGAAATTAAATTTGAACAGACAAACAAAAGAGGGCCTGGATACTGGCACCCAAATACAAATATTTTATATAATAAAAATTTTAAAAACAAATCAAGATTGGACTTTGATTAGCAAAAAAACAAAAAGTTCAAATACCAAAATGACAACAAAAAGTGGATATTGTAAATTCACGAAAAAAAAAAAACTGCCATATAAAACACCTTAGCTTAATAAACTCAAACTTAAAAAACAAGAAACAGTTTTATATTGAAAAATTAATTATGAAACACAAAAAACAAACAATATGAAACACTAAAAATATACATTATAAAACACAAAAAACAAAACAGATATTGAAAAAATTAAACAGCTGAAAAAAGAGCAAAAATGTCTCTTTAACAACACAGGAGTTTTTGAAAGGACAAAACAACTCCTTGTTGAAGAGGGGAAAAAACCATCAAAAGTGTTATTCTAAATAGAAATAAGAAATCAAAAAAAGAAAACTATTACAACATTCTCTAATGGAAAAAATATATACAAAGACACTTTATACAGAAAAAATATATAAAAAATGTAATAAAAACAATTCGAAGTTTTTACAAAAATCTATACAGACAGGAAACTTTAAATACTGAAAAGCAAGAATCTATTCTTGCTAATATTAAAAACACATTAAATAAAAACCAAAACGGCTTCCTAAATATAAAATTTAGTAGCCAAAAATTATTTAATGCTGCTAAATCTTTAAATAAAGACAAAACTCCATGTATAGATGGCTTACCTGTTGAACTGTACCAAGAAAACTGGGATATATACAGTGAAGAACTTACCGCTCTTGTTAATATTATTTTTTTCGACACAAAAAATAAATTGACATGGTCTCAAAAAACAGCTCTAATCAGCATTTTTCCAAAAGATAGATATCTAACGCTGTTACAAAACTGGCGACCCATATCTCTTTAGCGCACTGACTACAAAATTGCAAACAAAGCGCTTGCATTAAGATTCTCAAAATTATTTTAAATCTTACTCGGGCCGTCACCAACGTGTTCGGTGCTTGAGAGAAATATATTTTATAATATATTTCTCGTAAGAGATGTAATTCATTATACAAATTAAAAAAATATAGAAAGTTGCTTAATAACAATTGATCAAGAAAAAGCTTTTGACAAAATTGATAGATCCTATTTAATCAAAGTACTTGACAAAATTAAACTTGGGCACAAATTTTATTATTGCAATAAAACAAAGCATCAGAAATACTCAATCCATTGTCACTAACAATGGTTACATGAATGAACCTTTTAAAATAGAGAGGGGCGTCTGTTAAGGCGACCCGATAATTCTAGTGTTGTACTGCCTTGCAGTGGAAACGCTCGCACTAGAGTTTAAAAACAATCAGCTCATTGACGGCATTCCACTGCCAGGCTCAAAAATAAACTTAAAGGTGTCGCAATATGCAGACGATACGACTTTATTTGTGAGAAGCTCGCGATCTAAAGCAGAAGCGTTTACAATATTAAAAAACCTCAAACAAGCCTCTGGCTCCAACAAATAAAAATAAAACAAAAGCCTTTGCTCTCGGTGGTTTTAACTATTTTGGCTACGAGAATACTATCAAAATACTTAAGCAAAAAAATTGCAACATTTAATGGTTCAACCAAACAGGTATAAAAATATTTGATATAACTTTCCACACAGACTTAGCCTTTACAGGCAGAATAAATCTGCACAAAGCCTTCAAAAACTTTCAAAAAAAAATACAAAATTTTAAATACAGAAATATTTCGTTAAAGTGCAAAGGGATTTTTGTAAACACTCTAGCTCTGTCTAAGGTTTGGTTTATGGCAAACAGATTCCCTCTGTCAAAACTGGACCAAAAAAAAAAAATCGACAAGGAAATCTCGACCTACCTATTGCAGAGCGCAAAAGCAGAACCCTTAAAAAGGAATATTTTAAAACTGCCAATTAGTAAAGGCGGCCTAGGCATCTTTGATGCACAAAATCAATGCCTTGCTATAAGGATGAAATACATTTTCCGTCTGAGTGAACTTGATCACCCTCATGACGATTTCTACCTTTAAAAATATTATCTAGCATATACTTTAACAAATTTAGCGATAACAAAATACACGCAATAGCTATTTCTAACTGCGAACAACACCCCAAAATCATTAAACAGCTTGCCTTTTTATTACAAAGACATAAAAGGAAAAATTAGAGGCAAGGCCGATATCTTTAACATTATTCATAAAACACCAAAAAAATTTATAACTATATGTTGCAACAACAAAAAAAATTAAGCTTAAAATCAATACAATTAAAATGGGAGGCAAAATTTCAAAAAACCTTTCCGTGGATCAAAATCTGGGAAGAGAAATTTGCCTCCTACGCTCAAGAAACTAGTAAAAATACGCACTGGCGTATTCTTACAAACTCCCTTCCAACTTTTGAAAAAACAAATTCTTGGAGAATTAAACGTGGACAATTTCAAGGCAACTCTGACTGCAAATCATGAAATCGATTCGAAGACATTCTACACCCATTTATTTTTTGCAACAAAGCCAGAGCTGTCTGGAAACAAATCAGAATAATTTATGAAAAACTTCTCTCTGAAAAACCGTTAAACTCGGTGCATGAAATTTTTTTTATAAATAATAAGGATATTCCAAAAACAGACGCAAATATTCGAGTTTTCGGGGTTTCAGAAGAAATGCCAAACAAAAACATTTTTTCACTGTAATTTTCTCGTTTCTCCATGACGGTCCCAAGTAGCAAACACTATTGGCACAATATGGCGCGATATTGGGTATCTTGGCCTAGATTGGCCAAGATACGCAATATTGCGCCAATATTAGCAAACAATATTGCGCCAATATTGGCATATCAATATTGGCCAATATTAGCATACCAAGATTACGCCAATATTATTTTATTGCTATTGGAATATAATATTGGCGCAATATTGACATGCCAATATTGGCCAATATTGATATGCAAATATTGGTGCAATATTGTTTGCCAATATTAGCCCAATATTGTTTTGTTTTTATTACTCAAATATTGGCCAATATTGAGATTTTACATATTGGTACACAGGCGTAACATTATTGCTTATTCATAATGTCCTTTAGTTTTGTCCTTTGATGTCCACAGTACTTTTAAATGAATATTTACAGATTGAATCACGAGAAGAAGTGGTTTTAATTTCTTTAAAAACAGATTGTATCACGAGAAGAAGTGGTAAAAGTAAAGAAATCCTTTTAATTGAAAATTTAGAGATTGTATCACGAGAAGAAGTGGTTGTAATTTATTTAAAACAGATTAAATCACGAGAAGAAGTGGTTGCAGTTCATTTAGAAACAGATTGTATCACGAGAAGAAGTGGAAAAATATTTCTGTGCTCTAAGATAAAGATTGAAATAGTAAGTTTACTTTTATATAAAAACAGTTTGAGTTAATTGCATCTGCAAGATTTGTAAAGTCTATTTTATTTTGTTGAATATATTCAATTAAGTTAAAGATATTCAATTAAGTAACAAATACGTCAAATAGTTTACCTTTTAATAAGTTTGTAAATGAATAAATTTTAAATAAGGTATTATTAAATCTTGATTTTATTATATATCTATTTATATATATATATATATATATATATATATATATATATATATATATATATATATATATATATATATATATATATATATATATATATAATTTTATTTTATATAGCATTTTATTTTATGCTTAAGTGTAATATAATGTTATAGGTAATGAAAAAATCAATAAAAACAACTCGATCTGCTAAATCACATTATATTAGAAGAGTAGTAAAGCAACATTTAAATGAAATTTACTCAACAAGTAATGTTGAAAATACGAATAAATTACTTAACTGTGGAAATGCAGTAAACTTCAGTGATGAGTCTATTAATCATAATATGTTATATCAAAATTCTTATAATTATTTGACATATCATATTTTGATTAAAACCAACCCTCGAATTTGACTAATAATTCTGATGATGACTGTAACATAACTGATGATGAGCATGGCTACTGTCCTTCATGTTCCAGTGACAATGAAGAGGCTCAGGATGAAGTTACTTTGAAAACACTGCTTATTTGCTGGTCAGTCAAACACAATGTAACACATAGTGCTTTATCAGATTTACTAAAAATCTTGTCAAAACAACATCCAGATTTGCCCAAAGATGGTAGAACCTTGTTGAAAACAAAAAGCAGTTCTGACATTATTATCATGCAAGACATGTTTGGGCAAAAGGCAGAGTTTGTTTATTTTGGTTTGAAACATCAGTTAATTAGTTTGCTAGTGTTTAACAGCATTGAAAGCTGCAAAGTTAGTTTATTGTTTAGCATTGATGGATTGCCTTTGTATAAGAGCTCTGGAAAACAGTTTTGGCCAATACTTTGCAGTGTTACAATTGGTGAAAATATTTATAAACCATATGTAGTTAGCATATTT